TTCAATGTATATATATATATATATATATGTTTATATGGACCTGTCAATTTCATAAAATTTACTAGAATTTTGGCATATATTACATTACATTTTTCTCCGTGATCAATATGCATATCATTTTCTCAAGATTGACGTAATCAGTAACTCACAAAACTATTTCTAGGGACCTGTACTTTGTTGTAGCGCGGACCAACGAAAGGTCTTCTTGTTGTCGTGCTGCTACTCGTCGTCTCGATTCTGGTAGTAGTGGTTCGCGTTCCGCAAACGTAGGAACCGTTTGTATTAATACAATATTGAGTCAAGCTATTGCAGGCGTGCAAACCTAGTAAGCATTCATTAATATCTTCGCAATGTTCCTTGACCTCGTTCGTAGGTCGAGAATTGTTGCGCAGTCGAAAACCAGGTGGACAAGTTGGAGAACATCGGTAACTACCTTCCGTGTTCACGCAACGTTCGCTTATACCACAAATCGCTATTCCATTGGCACATTCGTCAACATCTATGATACATAAATTATCAAAATTTCCGTACAAAAGATTATTTGATGTAAAAATAAGAAATAATTACCGATGCAACGGTCAGATTTCTCATCGAAAAAGTAACCGTCGCCACAATCCTCGATTTCATTCATAACCGACGAAATGTTCGTTCCTTCTAATTTGTACCCTCGACTAAATCGATCATCGCGTTGATTGTCGTTGGTTTCTTCCATGGTAGATGTACCCTTATTGTTTTTAACCCGTAGGCATCTATTTTTTTCAAAGTATATTGTTAAAATATATCTACCTTTGAATATACATCATTGAATTTGTCACAGAATATCGTACCTGTAACTACCAATTTCATTAACACAACGCTCGTCAAATTCGCAGGAATGCAATTGTTCGTTGCACTCGTCGACGTCGATGCATCTCGTTATTCCAGAATTGTTAGAGGATTTATATCCCGCTGAACAAGTCATACGTGAACTGGATTGCATACCCTTTTGATGATCGAACGGATTGTTGTCGTTTAGAATATGTGGAAAAGGACTCGCCGATGTCTTTGTACACTCGTACGCACCCTCCGTGTTAACACATATCGTGTCGGGATCGGGACAAGAATTGCTCGACTCGATACATTCATCTACGTCTAAAAGAAAATACATATGATATTATCATAAATTATAATTTATTTACTTTTGCAGAGAGAAATCGTCGAAGGTATAATATTGAAAATGTACTAGCTGTATGACTTTTATAAGTTCCAATCTCTAAAATCTTGACATTGTTAACCTTTCGAAGTTGACACCAAAATCTCTAATGCTGATGCTAGTTGTATGAGACCTATTTAATTTATGTTAATTAAAAGACATTAATTAAATTCAAGAAACCAAAATGAAATAAAAAATAAGTATTAAATGTATTTTCCACTAGAAAAAAATAAATTTTAATATTTCTTTGAATAGTTCTCTAAGTGAATGTTTACTAAATATATAAACATATATTTATTTGATATAAAAACCATTAATTTGATTCAACTATAATTTTTTATTAAGTAAATATTTATTTACTATAAGTAAATGTTTACTTAGTACTATTCAAAGAAATATGTATTAAGATTTAGTAAATTTTTTTCAGTGTGATAACAAAAATCCAAATTTTTAGATATAAAAAATTAAATTGTTTGACATTTTTGGCAAAGAGATTTATAATTAAGTGGGTTTAATAGATCCATCTTTAGCTTCAGAGTGTTAATTAGCAATACGCTTATATAATTTTTATTTTATATTAATTAACTATTGCATGTACATATATGAATTATTAAAAAACGCAATCATTTAAGAAGTAAATTTATTACTCACATGCATGAAAGCTACAGGGATGAAGCGTTGCATGCAAAATCAAATTGTGGATGCGAGCTCATCAAACATATACCCAAGGTAATTCACAACGTTTTCCACGATCATTCGATCGATCTTTCAAAATGAAAAAGAATTGCGATCAAGAGATGCAATGCATGCATACATTTATCTGGTAGAAAAACCGGAAATTTAAGTTTAAAACATAATAAAAATTTACTTATCGAAAAGCAATGGTCATGTCGTTATTATGTGCATTATAACAATTAAAGATCTAAAAATGTTCGAGATGGAGACCGAAAGCTCACCGACGCAAACTCCCAGGCCGATATTGTACGTGAATCCTTTCCCGCATTTTATATCGCATTCGTAAGCACCCTCGGTGTTTCGACATTGCTCGACATCTGCTGCACAGCTGTGAATATCTTCCGCGCACTCGTCCACATCTGATTAACAAATAAACAGAGAGGAATACGTAAAGAGGCAAGATTTCCCGCGGAAAATTCATCATTTTTTTACCATACACGTGAATTAATTCTTGATACATACAATTGGGTCATTTATGTTTTGCGCGTTTCTTTTCTATCAAATACTATAAAGAGCACAAAGTAATTATAGTTATATATTCTTTAAATACACAACTTTTCAAATATGTTCTAAAGATCATGTTAAAATATATATAAACATTTCTTAATAATCTTCGTACACTTGTAAAAATGATGAAAGTTAATCCGGAATACGAACAACCCATGTAGTAAGAACTGGAAAATCAACATGTGTATACTATAAAAAAGTTTAATTTGACAATATCCAAGAAACATAAAAGTCAACAAAAAATGAAAATGATTCGATTGTAATCTTAACGTCGATAAACAGTTAAATTTTTTAACCAAAAATCATCATTTTGACTTTTTCTTGATTTGGTTTTTTTTTTTTAGGAGGGGGGGGGGGGTAAACCAAACAAATATAAATATTAACGATATTACCTTTGCATAGCTGCAACGATTTGTCGATCTTGAACCCCGCAGGACATTTCACGCCGGTCTTTTCCAGACACGTGTAACTACCCGGCGTATTCATGCAAATCGGTTTATCTGTGGTGCAGGCAGCTGATAAGATGGTACACTCATCAATATCTGAAAAATAAATATATAATAATAATAATTTTGATTTATAATAATCAAAGATGCGCGGATAAGTTTAAAATGGGCTTTTTCTTACCTGCGCAGTCATTTGTCAATGGATGCCATTCGTAACCCGGAGGGCAAGCTTTGTAGAGTGCATTCTTCGCGGATTTCTCCCTGATGCAAATATACGATCCTATGGTGTTCTGGCATCCTCCACCGGGACACACGTTGCGCTCCAGACACTCATCCACGTCTGATCGATGGATCAGCGAAAAGTGACGATCACATGCGAAAATCGAACGCACGATCGCAGAAACAAGCAGCGTAGCGAATTGAACAAAAATCAATCTCGCAGAATAATAAAAAAGAAGATACAAATTTGATCGCACAATTCACATAAGCGAGAATACGAGGCAGAAATAACAATGCTGCAACGAACATGGGCGATACAATCACGATATTGCAATACACGAGAAACGTGAAACATGAGCGAGTACGTTAGAATTAAATTAAGTTACGAGAATGTGCTTCTACAGGGTTGAGAAGTTAATTGTTATAAATGCCGTTATCGTTACTTTCTTTCGATAATATTATAATCTTTACTTTTTTTTATTTTTGGAACCACGACGAATTCAATCGTTAGTTTAATTCTCTGTTTATTCAATAGATAGCATTATTTATGATATAGAAATATTTCATTTAAGTAGAAATTTAAAACATATTTTATACTTTATATCTTAGCTTGATTTCCGATAGTTACTGTCAATACTAAAAATCTATTGCATATACTGCATATTATGTAATATAAATTATAAATTTTTTGTACTGGCAATAAATATTGGAAAGCACTCTTAATAAAGACATTAACATTTAAAAGTAATATTTAATTAATTTTTAATAACATTTAAGTCTGTAAATTACATTATAATATAAATTTTTAATAACTATGTTAAAGAATAAAAATATTAATATATTATAAGAATTATAGATTTATTAAAATAAATTTAATATAAAGAAAAGAGCTTGTTACATAGAGACTAGTTAGAGCTTTAAGCTTTAATAATAATTGTTATATTTAATATTGATTTAATATTATCAAATGATGTGATTTTAAAATCTAATATCTTACTTTATTATTATAAAAAAGCAGCGAATCATTATTTCTTAAATTAAGATAATACGATTACGAGTTACTTTTTATAAAAAGTAATGATAATGATAACGCGTTATTTTTATAAAGTAACGTTCCCAACTCTGTGCTTTTATTGTCGCGTTAATAGATATAACTTTTATTAATTAATTAACTGTTAAATGTTATTCCCTTACCTGTATGAGAATGTTACATTTTTAAAAATTATACATACCGTCGCACACCTGATTGGTGGCGTTATAACGATAGCCCGACGGACATAACGGCGATTCGTCATCCTCGTCTGTGTCCGGCATCTTTTTCCTCGGTGACTTTGGGATACACGAACGTGCGTCTTTGGCCAAATCGTATCCTGGATCGCAGCTGCATACGACAGCCACTCCGTTGTCAGTGCACCGATGCTCGCAGGGATGAGTTGGTTTGCATCTAAAAGTGGATATTTGATTGCATTTGTTTACATTTGCATTATTAACAATAACTACGCTTCACAGACTGAAATGCAAATGATAAAGCTGACTTTTCATTGTTTCGCAGTATTCGCGATATCGTCGCAATAATTAATCCGAACGTCAATCTGGTCACGAATACACTTTCCCATGCAATAAAAAGATCTACATCAAAATCTATACTATTGTATACCTGTCGATTGGTTGATCCTGCCTACAAGTTTTTCCGTCCTCCAACAAAGTGAAGCCGTCGCGGCATTCGCAGCGATACGAGCCCGGCGTCGGTACGCAAACGTCAGTGCAAAGCATGCCTTTCATGAGTTGACAGATATCATCCAATTCTGTGAATCAGAACGTTGGGATTTAAAATCGTTGGGATTTAAACTATTTGCACATAAGCTAAATAAAGAAGAGAAAGATCACGATTGCGCCGACTTTCTCGCGTACGTGCTATGCGCTTCAGAAAAACAATGCAAAATGTTTGTTTACACAGTATGAATTTTTTTTAAGATACTCTCTAAATTCTTTGGAATAGAATCTTATTTTTTTAAATGAAAATTGAACCATTCTTGAAAAAGAATAGATCAATTTTCATTTTTTAGAGTAAGATTCACTCTAAAAATTTCAGAAAGTATATTTTGACTCGTTTACAAATTTTATTATTTGTAATCAATAATCAAGGAACATATTCCATATAATAAATGAAATATTTTTTATGCAAATCATACATTATACCTGGAGTTGGAATCGAGTACGGCGTGGAATCTGATGATGAAGAGGAAGGCTCATCCGATGATGTGGATAAAGGTGATGTAGATGAAGAAGGCGAAGACGATGACGGCAACGACGATGGCGACGATGACGTTGATGACGATGATAACGACGATGATGATGATGATGATGATGACGATGACGGCGACGGCGAATACGAGGACGTTGACGAGGACGTTGGCGAAGACGATGAAAAATCTAGATCAGTTTCGGTTGAACTCTCGCTTGACAATTCACTCGTAAGATCCGTCGTGGAGCTCGGCGACGCTTCGCGACAGCATTCCAAGAACGCGGGATCCCAAGGAATGCCAAACGAGAAGCTTTTGAAGGAGCATCCTTGACCCATAGACCCCGCGAGAATACCTGATAATACATTGATAAGACGCGCGTCAGGGATAATCAATACGAACGAGTTTGTCCGAGTTTCGTTAAAGTAGAAGCTTTTATTAATACATAAAATATTCTTGACGTAATACGCAAGATAGAGTGCTTTCCGGCAACCCAATAAATAAGAAACACAGATGGCACAGTGAATCAGCATCACATCTTTGTTATTTGCCAATGTTAAACAAAGATGATATGATCACTGTGTTATACTGCGTCGCTTGTTTGGAAAGCACTAATAAATTGAATAAAAGTACCTAGCTTGCAGCCCTCGCAACAGTCGCGATGGTAATCTCCGCGGCCGAAAGTCTTTGGAGATCTTTGCGATGCCGTGCTTGTCACACAGGCCAGACCTTTGCGCGCGTCGGCTTTTCCTTTTTCGCATTGCTGTTCGTGATAGGCCCGGACGCAACAGATATCCACAGCCTCCAGGCAAAGACCCTGCTCCACCCTCGACACTCCGGTCACAGGCCCAGTGAATTTCTCACACCTAAGACCCTCCTGAGCCCAAGAAGAGCCAAGGCCGCAGCATTTCTCGAACTGAGCCTCCATTCTTCCCTCGACGACGAGCGCTATTTCATGCGATAAAAAATTAACGAGTCGTGTTAATTTGCTCGGAAGAGCATGCAGATACGGTAATTACATCGGTATTAATTTAGTGATAATACATCTAGATATTAATTAGAATAAAATATAGAGAAATGTGAATTTTTTGTAAAATGAATAAAAAATAAATAAACGATCGTGGTTTTTTCACGAAAAAAAAATGCAAAATAATATGTGCTAAAATTCTAGTAAATTTTATAAAATTAGCAGATCCATATAGGAAAGGGCATCTACTTTTATAAATTTACTTTGTTTTTCTGGCAAATGAGCGATCATCGTCTAGCCATTACATAAAGCAAATTTTATGCTACTACGATTTGTTACTATTTTCTTAATCTATAAATCACCATACATCTTAATAGAAGTTAATATTATCTTAGCACTGAATAAAATTTACTGCGCTATAAAAAATATATATTATAAAGTCTTGAAAGTTATTTGTGTTTGAGAATATATAGTATGATTTTTACTTTACTGAAGACAATCACTTGAATAGATTTATTATAATTGTAATATACTTTTTACCTTCGGTATTTTTACTTTTAGATAAGTAATAAATTTTGGTTTGTCATAAATTCGGCAAAAATAGCTAGAATATTTTCATTAGGTTTGTAAGACCATTATCAAGTGTTGAAACAAATTTTAAATATCTTACATTTATATCTTTGTGCATGTCGTAAATTAGCTTGAAAAGAACGAGACGACAAGTGCATCTAGGTCAAAAGCTCTGTTTGATTTTTGTCGGACTTATCACTTTCTCAATTTTTTCATCAATCGCTTAAAAATTCTGTAAATCTTTTATTTGCTTTATTACGAAATTCTAACAGGAAACACGAAAACGCCGATAAAATAATTAGAATCATTTTTTCATGATTCCATCATAAAAAAATTATAAATAAATTTATGGATCTATCAAGCGTAAGAGAAACGCGTTGGAAAAAATACGCTTTGCACATTGATAAGAGCGAAAAGCGTCAAAACCTCGTTTCTCTTAGACATCGTGTGTTTTCCCACTGATAGATGCGAGTCGTGAATTTTATCTGTAAAATATATATCAATCTAGCTCGCAAACAGTTTCTGCGAAGAGCTTAGAGATTCTCCAATAACGCTTTCGTGATCTCAATTGTTCCTCAATGCGTCCGATCTACATGCAAAAATTAATTTATATCAATCGACGCGTCGTGTGCACGAAACCATCATGGACGTCGGGCGTGCTTTCTTTTTCACATTGTAGTACAATTTTAAGTTAATGTTGAATTTTATGACAAACGTCAAACACAAAGGATTACATACAAATTTTTCACAACGGAAAAAAGAAAATTTGACCCATGAAGTGACAAAATGTTTTGTGTGGTACATGTTTGTATGTATATAAAATGTATATAATATTCTGTTTTAAAGAAAAATTTTGCCTGCGCCCATGTCGCCCACTTAAATACAATTATTGATATCTTTAGAATATTGATGATTGAACTTCACTTCGTGGAACTGCCTCGAAGTTTCGAAATACCGAACGCAACTCATAGTATTCTGCGTGCGCAAATAAGCCTAGGTCATTGGAGAACTAACTAATAGGATGATTTGCTTAACGTCGGTACACACAATGAATATCGTCGTGATGAAATGAAATTTAGTCTATCGTAAATATCAGCGATTCAATAATTTCATACCGAAAAAACAGTACATAATTAAATAAAACAAATTTTAAATTTTTTCTAAGACATTTATTTAATAATACTTTGTCTACACAAAAGTTGGAGTTCATCTCAATTCAACATACATCAAAGCCACACGATTTTTATGTAAAAATTTCTCTCTACACGAAAAAAATATGAAATATAGGGAAGGCGAAAATTAAATAAGCTAGAAACTAGTTGTATATTTCTGATGTCTTGCGCAAGATTTTCATGCTGTGGCCGGTTGGCGGTTTACCAACCGCGCAAATTTGTTTAACAATTTAAAATAATTTTGGGCGAATTTTGACGATTTAAACGGGAATTCAATCATTATTTGGATTACAAACGGTACCTCGTTTGTGCAGAACCAGCTGCTCCAGGTGGGCCATCAGGAGAAGGATAATAAAGGACGCAGCGAGATCGACGTAATGTGCCATTTTCCCTCATCGATCGAATTCCGCGATTATTATGCTCACGCGACTTTTCACGATTAAAAATTTTCTTTTTTTCGCGAGGAAATCGTAATTTGATTCTTTTTTATCACTTTTTTTTCAATCTTTTTGAGAAAAACGTGTGAGCGACCGTCCCGAAGAAGTTTCGTCCGGATGCGTCTCGAATGAGCGCTCAACTTGCATTGAAGCATTTGGTACGCCGGCACTTTGGTTTTGTCATCTGCACCTTTATACATCTCCCTCGCAGGTCCCGGGCCTCTCCTTCTACCCTTTGTCCTCATCCTCCCTCCTTCTACTGGCAACACACTGTTGCGTAGTACGACAAGTCTCCCGTCCTTCCCTCTCACTCTCTCTTTTTCTCACTGTCTCATTAGATACGAGAATATACGCGTGATACGCTCGCAGACTCCGTGTGTTGATTAATAACGCGATTCGAGCAGAAACGGAGGCAAACTAGCGCGATAATCTTCAAAATCGTCGGCATATCGTTTGCGACTTGATACAAACCATCACGAAGCTCCAAATATCAATTAAAAGCTTTATTAGAAATAAATACAATTTCGAGTGTAATTGTCATATATTGACCGATTATTGACCGAAATTATGCCATTTTTTTAACGATTCAGTCAATGTGGCATTATTCCTTGGATGAGCAAACGCAAACACAAACACAGAGCCAGACTCCCTTTTTAAAAATATTTACAGCAAAGTTATATATTTTTTAAATATTTCTGAAATGCTTAATCACAATTTTGATATTTCAAAAATATTTTTTAATTTAAGAATTTCTTAGATATAAAAAACATAGATTCTATTATATTTTTTGTATTGATATAATTTTAAATAAAATGTTTTACGAATTATACATTTAATATAACATTTTTTCAGCATAATAATTTAAATAATAATTCAATATTCTGTCTTTTACATATTTGACCTTTTGAAAAAAATCTCGTTTGCGGCGTGTCAAAATGGCCCCCTCTTGACAAATTTCTGGATTCGTCAATGAGCACAAGGCAGCTTCACGGCTTATTCTTCGAGTTCTTTACCATTCTCGTGACTTCTTCCGCAGCTTCTGCTCCTCCAGGCCGCGGCACAAAGCAGCTTTTTTTGCGGAGACTCGCTCAACAGTGGCCCCCTTGTAGCGCGAAATTTCGTATCATCCATCAAGCGCAAGTTGCCTCCAAATCTCAACCAGGGAAAATTTATAATGTGTACAAATCATCATATATGAATAGTGTCATTACAATTGTACGCTATTAACGAGAAATGTTTAATGAGATTTTGCCTAACTCTGTTCTCTTCAGATATCAAAAAATTTTTTTTAATTTTTACGTTGTCAGAAGGAATTATCAGAAGTAAAGCTTAACAAAATTATGCAATATATAGCAATTTAACGTTATCAATTTTGTTTCGAAGATATATTGACTTATAAATTTGATGCAGATGAATTCTTATCCGTTGCAGAGTATCGCTCGCCATCATGATCGTAGCAGCGATATTGATGCTGACCGTGACACACGTAACACCCTGGGATCACAGAGTCGTGCATTATGAAAAAAATCTCACGTAATTTAGAAGCCGCCAGTAACACACGCATCATATCCTCGCCATCAGCGTCTTACAAAGCCACATCTTTGGGTCTAAAGTGGTGCTTTTTTGCCGCGGTTGAGACTGCATGTGCTCGGTCTGCTCGTAATAAGGCGAACGAGCGACGACACGTTGTGTGATCACGCGTGTCCATATAAAAAAGCGGAGAATTTGACAATCTGCTGAACGCGCTTCATAGGAGATAAGTTTATTTGGTCGGTCGCTTCCTGTTCCGCGTTTCGGCCGATGACAGCTACGATCGTGGCTCCCACGAATTTAACGATGATCATCTCGAAACACAAAGCATTAAAAAATTTTACAAGGAGAGGACACGATAATTCCTTTAGGATTTTGATCTCTTTTAGCATAATGAATCTACATCGAAAATAAATTGTGTCATGTCCGAATATTTTTGTTGAATAAACCTTGCAAATAGTATTTTTAATGTACGAATGGACCCCGCATTAATCCTCCATGATCCAACGTTTCTTTCACTGTTTCTTTCCTAACCCAACCGGGTCACTGACGCCTTATTGTGTTTTTCAAAATGTTTTGGGCTCTAAAAAATTTGAAAAGATCGTGGTACTCTTCTAACTTTCAAATTAACAAAATACGACTTTACAATGATACGATCCGAAATATTTTTCACTTTTTTGTATGTGTCCAAATTTGAGGCAGAATAATTCAAAATTGAAAATTCATCTAGGTCTTCAAAGCCCCACTTTGACCACGGAAAGTTAATTATATGGAAAATTAAATCCCGATGAAATGAGTTTTTTCATATATAATGTAACTTATGTTGTGGCGAATAAAAGATATACAAGATTTAATAATAAATAGTTTCTGAGCTGTGGTGTATAAAAGATGTTCTGTGCATGAGCACAAGTTTTACACCTTTGATGCACTATTATTGCTAAAAATTATCCATTATTGAGCTTTGCATTTACAATTTTTTTTATTCACTATATTATAAGCTACATTATATGTGCAAACTAATTCATTATACCGGGATCCAATTTTCCAGACAATTAATGCAGTCTTATCATACACATTAGAAAAATACTATATATATAAGGCTCATTCAAAAAAACTCAAACACGGCACAATTTATTTTTGATGTAAATTCATGAAACTCATTCGTTATACTAAAGATAAAAATCCGTGAAGAATCCAGTGTTCTCTTCTTGTTAAACAGATATTGAGATGTTTGAAACTTTGATAACATTAAGAATTTATCTCGAAGCTGTTTAACTATCTAATTGTCACCGCGAATTACACCGCGACAGTTAAACAACGTTTGATAATAGCGATAGATGAGGAACACATCGTGCACGTGTATCTACGAGACTAATGGACAATATAAAAACTCAAACTTTGTATCTCAAACTGGCAATTTTATTCAATTGATCTGTTACGTTATTGCGTAACACGGACACATCGTTTGATGGGAAGGTTTACACTTGATTCTCGTGTCCTCGCGTTTCATCTTTGCTGACACATTTATTCTTCATGCGATAAAAAAGGAGTTTTCGCACAGTATTTCCGTGAAAGAATGCAATGCACAATAAAAAATTTATTACAACTCGCCGCTTTCCAAAGGAGCCAGATAATTATAATATCCTTTCTCACATAAGACGCAACGAATCGAATCAATAGGTATCAATAAATGTAATATATAAACACACAAGTGTCTAATGATAAAATACGAATCTTATTGGTCTTATCATTTCTGTAATTTTGACAATATTTCCTTTTCTCACACATGTTAGCGGTGTAACACGTAATCTAATAAATACTGACAGAACCGTATCCGAAAACAACACGAGAATATATATAGCCTTAATTTAAAAATATCGCTGTTGTACTTTATTCTAAAATTAGACAATTACAGCTTATCTTATTAAATCGACTACGAGCGCTTTCTATTCGAGAGTATAGTAATTACTTGTTTCATCCTAGGCTTCGAATGTAGAGTAACTAATGAGATTCTGTTTACTGATGCGAATGTGTAACCGAAAACTTGCCTTATTTATTCTCTATTGATGCCGATTATAGAAGATGTAATATTGATGATCGTCATAATTTTATATGTTGATTTCACCTTTGCTATATAATAGAAGAATCTCGTAAAATGAAATTATCGTTAGAAGTACGTAATGTATCAAATGTAATAAAAAAATATTTGCGAAATATTTACTTTATATGAGTAAATCGTGATACGGAGTGTGGAAGAACATGAACGAGGTGTGTAAGATGAAAATATTTTTCTGAGTGTGACAAGTTCATTATGAATATCGTGATTAAAAACTTAACTTAAATTCTTTAGACGATTGTAATCCAACAGAGAATTAATGCTAATCGAAATAGATTTCGGTACAGAGCACACATTCTTATTTGTCCGCGTAAGTAATAAAATACACAATTTTACCTTGTAATTTTTTATCAAAAATTGTACATCATTTCTTGAGCGTAGCAACATATCTCTATATTGATAGAATGTGGTAATCGGTTCATATTTCAACTAAAATATTAAGTTCTATAATAATATATATAAATATACAATATCTGAGTTTATTGGAGGCAACATTATAACATGTAGCCAAAATCATACGCTATGTCATAGTAATATGCAATGTAAATGTTTATTATGTAACTTATAAACAGGACACGAACATTTCTCATTACATCTGTTGGTAAAAGATTATATTTAAAGACCATCAGATAGAATACAAGTGCAGTCTGCAGTAATATAAATTAAATAAGTCAGTAACAATTATCAAGAGACATTAAAAATTTTTTATCACTACAGTTTCCAGAGTAATCATAGACAATATGTGTGATTATAAAAAATATTCAAATAGTAGCAAAGAATAAAATCTTTATTCCAAGTGTTTTATTTAAAATAAGACAATGGTGTAAAAGTTCGTGTATTTCACGTGCAGAAGGTATAGTCGTCACTCTCAAAAATTCTATAAATAGACACCTCGTTCTGGAAGTCATCTAAAGAATAATTTTTATAAGAAAGCAAATGGAACTCTTCATCTAATGCCTCGTTCTATTTTATCCTAACTTATTCATAAAATCCGCGATATTGAGAACCAAGCGGATGTTATTTTATAAAGGGAACGACGACTAGGCCATATGAATATAACTGAGGAATTTGTCTTATGTTTTGACACAGATTTAGTGCAATGGTAGAACCTATCTAATTTAATCCAGACCCTTTCCTTTCAAACCACTTTCAATATATCTTAACAAATGCTGTATTTTTATACACAGGTTTTCAATCGAAAGAGTCTAGATCTTCTAAATTCTGCTTCTCTATTTTCATATATTCAGAAAAAATGTGTCCTGAGATTTATTCATATGGCATATTGTTTTCAGTCCACTAAACTATCTGCTCTTGATTGATTCGGTGCACAAAATTTCATTCATTTTTCTTTCTTTTTTTTCACGTTTTTTGTATGATGTCAGAAACCAAACTCCAACTTTATATAGGTTCTTCTCCCTCTGTAACAATTAAATGGACCTCTGTATAGCATCAAGCATATCACACAATAATATTTAAGTGTTA